GTTGCTGAAACAAAGCTTGCAATATGACCTACGAAACTGGGCTGGCAGGGGACTGTAGCCAAAATTGAGTTTGTCTTTAAGCTATTCATCCATTCATCCAAATTAGGCCCTAACATGCATGGATTGCATCATTTACTATCCAAAGCCCTCATTATTACCTAAAGCTCAATGAACTGAAAGATAAACACAAAAAGGATTAAAAGCACAAGTTTAACTCAAAAACATAACCAAATCATAAGCTAGAAGGGTACAAAATGATATGTAAATATGCACCGATCAAGGTGCTTCTCCCTAGAAGTGATTCTGGCCTATTGAAAACAAACGATAGTCTAAACTACAAAGTGGAAAGGCACACGCACACACTATTACCAAGGCACCATGGGGGTTTGAACCTGAGATTATTGGTCTACAAGTCAAGGCCCTTCTCCACTAGGCTAGACTCAATTGGTTACTAATATTTCTTTTTATTTTGTTGAAAGACGTTGAGAGTTTGAATTATCCATTTTTTTAATAATAGAAATAAAAAGTAGTTTTTTAAAATTTTCAAATAATAAAAAGGAGGTTAGTAGAGCAAGAATTAATTGAAAATCTGAACCCCTTTAGGCTTAGGAAGGATCCAGATGTGATATTTATTATTGTTATTTGTCAAGTATTCATATCGCTTAAAGACGTTCAGATTTTGTCAATTAAATAATAAAATCACGTGACACGTGATACGTGACTTGAATTCAAATTAAAATATTTCTCTAATAATTAATAATCTTGTAAAAGGAACTTAAAGAGACAACATGTAGCATAGTATTAGGAGAAAAATTAGATTGTGACAGAGGAAAAAGTTCTTAGTAAAATAGCTCTATCTAATGGCACTTCTCTTCTTTCCACCCCAATTGTGTTTAAACTAGTTTATGCTCACATGTATATTGCACAGAAAGAGTAAGGAATGACAGTTTTGACAAATTGTGAATTGTATTTGTCGTTTCTAACCCAAATTTACAGTTGATTAAATATATTGTGTTCGAGTTGACTCACATACCTTATAAACAAAAAACTTAAAGGTTAAGTTCTTGTTTGACCTCATGAATTAGCACTGAGTGTACCTAACCCCTAGCCAGATAAAAATTAAAAAGAAAAAAGAAGCCAGCTCTGTTGCTGTAAGTTTGTAGTGTATAAATACCTCAACTGCTCACCCATGAGTCCGAGTCCTCACATCTCCTTAGCTTTGCTGCTCTAGTTTTTCTTATTCTCTTAATCATCTTTTTAATTCAATTAGCCAAATTTCATTGACTCTAGACTTCCTCATGGATGCTTCCCTGTGGGCATTTCTCCTCAACAGTCCTGAAGGATCTGTTCCTTATCCTTGGGAACGCTGTTTTGATCTTGTGGTACGTATACTTGGCCTCTTCATCTCAATTTTTCTCTCTCGATCTATATTCTATATTCTGTATTCTGTACACACACTCACGGAGTCACTCATTCACTCACTCACTCGGATTTTTATTTTATGTGTTTGCAGACAGGAATGCTGTTATATAAGAACAGACTGAATGGCGCCGTAGTCCTAGATTTAAGGCCTCGAGTGAACCTTGGGGGAGGCTTGTACAACGTAAGCACCGCGTGGCAAGACCTGACGGCCGGCAACCAATACACGGCCGCAAACAACGTGGTGCAGTGGGCTCCTTCTCTGTTCCGCAGACATATTAATGAACATGATCAAGACACTCCCATTCTCATTTGTTCCAACTGCTGCACCAACCAACTCATCTATTTCCTGGTGCCCCAACTCATCACTCACTGCCCCTTATGTCGCCGCTTTATGAATTTCTTTGCTTAATTCTGCCCTGGGGGTGTAAGATTTCTAATGATGAATAAAAGAGCTGTTGCAATTATCTGATGCCTCTGTTCTTCATGCAAATTATAATTAATGATTAAATGAAATGAAGGTCCTGAGTTATGTGATAGTTTCTTGGAGTCGATATGAATTCAGTGAGAACAAGTTAAAGCAGCTTTGTCCACATATATAAATCTGTAAGTGCGTGTTCGTTCCAAGCTCAGCTGTCTTTAATGAGACCGAGTTTTCCTCTTTTTGCATGGCCAAGGACTTGGGTGTTTTACTTTTTAGTCAACCTTGCAATTAATAACATGCAAAATCAATTTTCTCACCAATTCCCTTCTTCTTCTTTTTTTGTCTTTTTTAATATAAATTTCCTTTTCTAAATTACCCAAAAATTTACAATTTCTTTTTAACTTTTACCATAAATTTTTGACTATTTGATTATAAAAAAGAAGAGGATGTGTATGAGTCTCATATATATAAGTTATAACCAAACAGAAGCGACTACATTGGGTAATGTCAGGGTTTGTTGAAACTGTGCTATTAATGCTAACCCTCCTGTTTGTGATGCCAATTAAGATTTTTGTTTCCTTTTTTTGGTCAAGAGTCTTGATGCAGTGGACAGGCAATGGCTCTGCTTGCTACATATTCAATTAATAATGTGGCCAATAAAATTTTCCAAATTGTTATTAGGGATTTATATATCTAGCTCAGATTTCCCTTATAAGTCAGTTATGAGGTTGTTGCAAGCATTTATTGTGTGAAATTGAAAGGATAAAAAAAAATGGAGCATCTGTCGTTAAGTTTATTAGTTGAAAAATAATAATAAGTCAAATCAACAGAAAAAGAAAAAAGAAAAAAGAGCTTTGAACAAGAGAGTAATCTTTACTACTTCAAATGCTTCAAATCCCGACCCTAATTGAAAGTGAGGTACTAACTTCGTTATAGGATTGTCTTATTTATTTATTTTTAAGAGTAATCTTTACTACTTCAAATGCTTCAAATCCCGACCCTAATTGAAAGTGAGGTACTAACTTCGTTATAGGATTGTCTTTTTTTTTTATTTTTTTTATTTTTATAAATACAATCGATAGTTAAAATTATAAGGGGAGGGCGATTTCTCACACACACACTTGAGACAACTGATTTATCTATCAAAACTATTTTTTACTGTGCTAAACTCCGTTCGCAGAATTGCCTAATGTTAATAAAGCTTAGAAGCGTCATCATGAATACTTCCTGCTAAACAAACATATATTTTTGTTCTTCCTAATTGGTATTTACAGATGACAGTCTTCTTTGCGGTGGTGGCGGTGGGTTCCATTGTAAGCCATATTTATTCCATTTATCATTATCATTACATACCTGACAGTTTTGTTATATTGGGTCAAAAACTGGACTGACTCAATACAGTATGGTTAGAAAATTAGGAGGGACAATTCAAAGCATTATGAACACAAGCAAGATAGGATTTGGACCATTCTTTCAAGACTAATATCTGAAGCACTATTTCTTCTCATAGATTAGAAATGGCACAACCATGACATTGATGAGGCGATAGGGCATATTACATAGCTAGTAGTAACCCAAGCACGCATATACAACAAGGAAGAATAAACCAATCTTTTGTTTGTGCTATAAGTAATTGAATTTTACCACCGACTCATGGCTTCATCCATAAATACTGATAGATTCTAATAGGCTGAACTGCTTAGATGTTCCTTACTGGCCTTTTCCATTTTTATTTTTATTTTCCTTTTGTTGGCCTAATAAGAACTAGAATAATTAGCATAGGAAAACAGAGTATATAATGTAACCCAAAAAAAGAAGAAAAAGAAAACATTATGAAAACAGAGCAGTATGCATCGCATTATAACAAGAAGATTACAATGAATGAATCCCCATATTATATGCTTCGTTTATAAATATATATAACTGAGAAAACCGGAAATGGAAAGAAAGAATATGGGGTGAGAAATTGTAAAAGAAAAGCAAGACAACTCAATTTCAGAAGCAAAGCAGTAATGAAAAAGAAAACTGGTAGAGTAGCTAGTAGTCAGCCTTGTCAGGCTTTTCGTCTGCAACTGCAACGGCTGGGTTGACGGCAATTCCAGATGCTACGAAAGTTGAGATACTCTGAGTCAGATGCCTGGACGCCTTTTCATAATTAACAAAACCCATGAACCAGAAATCATGGCCGTCTATTGTCACAATCTGGATGTACTTTTCGGTTGAATTTTCTCTCATCATCACCGGATTGATTGTTGCAATATTTCCCAAAGGCACCATAATCTGTTCCAATAATACAATTCATCATTGACCAGATAAATATATATATGCATGTAGTATCTTCTGATTAGTTGAAAATTGAAATGAGTATGTAGTGGTTGGTGGGTACCTTGTAATAGCTCCAGGTGACCTGACCAGAGGGGGCAGTGAAGGACAAGGGGCGGTCGCTGCAAAAAGCTGTATGAAGATTAGAGAGATAAAGAGTTCCGGCAACTGGTCCAGTGGATGTTGAGAGATAACAGGCAAACGACTTGTTCAGCTTCTCGTTGGGATAAGTCGCAAATGATTGCTTGTACAGAGCCTCAAATCCACCCCCTGTAATTGCTTTCGCTGTCACATTCATCTTCCCCCACGCAGCTCCAGACACCGATGTCCCAGTTTTCACTGATGGAAAGAATGAAATTAATTAAAGTCAACAAAAACCATATGTTTGCAATTGATTAATTTAGAATGAAGAGAAAGTACATACGGTTGTGCCAGATGTTGTTGGCCATGGACTCGGCCCTGTTGCTCCAGGAGTTGAAGACATGGAGCATGGATTCCATGGGGCTGTTGTTCGACTTTTCAATGGGTTTGTATTGGAGGTAGGGATGGTGGAAGCTTTGGGCTTGTTCAGTGCCAGCAGCACCCCACAGAGCTGCCTTTTTGTTGTCTGGATGGCATGTTGGGACAGCAGGGTGCCCCATCACGTGAGTCCCCCATTGCTCTGCTTTCTCTTCTTCATTTGCTGGTGTTGGTGCTGGTATTGATGAAGACGAGCTTGATGATGGAATATCTTCTTCATGATGATGAGGTTGTTTGAGATCTCGGGTTTTCTGCGGTGAGGATGGGGATGGGGATGGTTCTGGGTGATCAGAAGGGTTTGGCGTGGAAGGAGTGAAATCGGAGGGCTTTTGGGTTCCCTGCAATGAGGACGATGGCTCAGGTGTTTGATAAAAAGGATTGATTTCTTGAGCTGTGGGATTTGCAATGGAGGGGTATTGGGGTGGTTGGGTTTTCAGCGATGAATATGATGGTGGAGGTGTATGAAGAAAAGGGTTTGTGTCATTTTCTGCGGTGGGAGGAGAAATGGAGGGGTACAGAGGTTGGGATCCTTGGTTGGTGTTGTTGTTCATGTTTTGCTGGAAGGGTAATGGAAAACGTACAATATTGGTCTTCTTTCTTTCTTTCCTTCTGGTGTGAGTTTATCGGATGTGGTTGAAAATTGCAATGGCTTTGGGTGTTTGGGAGACGTTATTTATACAAAGCAAATGGCAGACAACGGAGCTCTTTCAAGACTTTCTAGAAACACATGAACATTTTAATAGATATATATATATATACCTAACCGAGGTAGATGGGCTGAGATTTCTGTGTTTGTTTATGTATTCATTTTAATATTATATAATGTTAATTTTTAGAAAAGGAGTTCGTCACTAGAGGGGCATGTGAAAGCGAAAAGGTTGACTCTGCGCAACCAAATACACGCTTTAGTAATGAGCATCCATTCAGCTCATGTTTGCTTAACCGTGTTATTTAAAGTCATGTTTCCATCAAGTTATCATTTTCTTCTTCAGCTTCTAGATAGAGAGAAATTCATGTTCTATATTTTTAATTTTCATATTATATAATCCAACCCTCTCAACTCTACATCTTCATTTTGTACTACTACTACCACTATGTCGATACTAGGACCAGCATTTTCTAATTTCTAGTACTAATACACAAGCAAATATAGGTTAGGCCAATTGGCTAAGGCAGTGTACCATTCCTATTGCCTACTGTTTGCGCTAAAACTAGACAGGTAGTAAATAGACCAACTTAAAGATAAGGTGAATGTTGAAGGTGAGGACCCTCGGTATGTGAAAGGATTCGGTAAGCAGGTAAACATGCATACAGAAGACAAATGTACGTGGTTCACCCGAATAATGGGCTACGTCCACGGAGAAGTATGTTCTCATTACGATAATGTGAGTATACATTGCACATAGGTTTAGACTCAAGGAGAAGAGGAAGAATGCCAAAGGCCGAAGGCTGGAGGCCGAAGACAGATGCCGAAGGCTGGAGGCCGAAGGCTGAGGATCTGGTATGATCCGTGGGTTTTTAAGTGGGCTCATGGGTAAGCCCATAAGGCCCCAGTAGCCTGCCCAAACTCCCCATCCTCCCTCTTGAAGGGGAGAGGTCTCCTTTTATAAAGAAGGGAGAGTCCCCTCCTCTTGTGTTTTGTCGATGTGGGACTCCCTTCCTTTTGGCCTGAGAGTGTTTGGGGAGTGCTTGGCCAGATATTGTACAAACAGCTACGAATTCAAATCCCCTTTCCGGATATTAGAATAGTTTAAAATATCAACATTGTCGAACAAAAAAATACCTAACTGCACTACAAAAATATGGCAAAACAAAAAGATGAAGAAAGAAAACCCACATTGGTTGAAATGCTGCAATCCATTAATAACTCCAGTTGAGTCTGTTGGTTAAAAAAAGGCATTACCAGTTATTTACATTGGAGTCGTTCTATGGTGAATGTCTTATCTAATACCCTTAAATGAGGTCATATCTCTTAACTATTAAATCAAACTAACCAATTTAATCCAACGATTTGAGCATCATCTAAGGGCCCTATATAAGGCTTTCATTCAATTTTGGCCTTTTTTACATTGGGCCTTTTTGGGTACGAAAAGCTTAGTATAGTGTGGCCCAAATAAAGCCCAAAAGTTCATTAGAATCGGTCCGAGTTCTCAGTCTGCCTACGTGACATTTTGTGAATTTTCCATTGGGTCATTGTATCTATCTACCCGTCTTCTATTCTGTTCTACTCTATTCTATTCTATTTCTATACCGCCACTACCAACTTTGCCCTTCTCATCGTTCGTTGAATTGAATCAATAACCCCACAGGGCCCACCGTCCAGCACACAGCAACGTGTCCGAACATGATTAGAAACAGCCTGGCGATATCAAACAACTTGGAACCCACAGTGAATATTCGCATTCTAAATTAATTTATTAATTCCTATCTAACTTTTTTTATCCGGCTAAGCAACCAACCCGACTACTGACCGGCAGGCACAGAGCCACGGCGGACGAGAGAGACAGAGAAAGAGAGTTTATTTGAGAAGATGAGTTACCACAAAGCTCCTCAAGAACCCTACCCTCCACCAGGCATCAACAAGCACACTTCCTTTTCACAAAATTTCAGTATTTTCATTTCAATTCTTATATTACTTCACTAATCGATTTTTTTTTTCCTTTTTCGGTAATGAAGGATACCCGTATCCGTATCCGCCGCCGGGATACCCATCAGGTCCGCCACCACCGCCGCCGCCGTACGAAGGGTATCCACCACCACCACCTGGGTATCCTCACGGATACGGTCCACCTCCGCCTCCACCCCCACATGGTCCGCCTCCGCCGTACGAGGGGTACCAAGGGTATTTCAATGAGGGGTACCCTCCGCCTCCGCCTCCACAGCAGCAATACCAGCAGCACTATCACTACGAGCATCAGAATTACCAAGAACAAGATGGTTGTATGTCTTTCTTACGAGGCTGGTATGCTCCCTTCCTTGCTCTCTACTCTCCAGTCTCTACCCGCCATTTCAGTCTCTTTATCTTCCCTTGCTCCTTTCTACTTTTTAGCCCTTAATTTGATTAAAAGTTTACCTAATTTATTTCCAAGCTCCGACCTTTATTTGGATTAGTGTCCCCGTACATGGAATAAGGTTTTTGCTTTTGATAGTTTAGTTAGTAAAGTCTCTAGCTAGGATTGAATCCTCAAGCTTTACTATACGTTGTATGTTGCGCTATATATGTGAGGCTGGTAATTAATTGGTTTTGGTATCTTGGGAAAGTTGAGTCTTTTTCCCTACTGCTGGATTGTTTTACATTCCCCAATATCAAACTGGTTTGACCCTGTTCTTTTCTGCACTCCAAATCTTGTGCACAGCTGAGATTCTTCTCATAAGACAGGAGTACAACATGTTGCTTTTTCATTCTTCTCCTCATATAATAAACATGGCACACTCTTCATTTGTAAAGTTTTTCACATTCGAACATGTTGCCTTGGCACCAAAGTTTTTAACCTTCGAAAATCAAATCATGGCGTACTCCTCATCCAAACGAGCCCTATTGCTATAATTTGTAGATTGAACAAAAGTAGATCGTGTGTTCTTTTCAATCCATAACTACAGAGGGGTTTTTGTAACTTCTCTTCAGGCGTTTGTATATTATTCCCTGTATGGCCTCTCTTCAAAATGCTATAGGGTCATCTGAAAAGACTTGAAGAAAAGCTAATCTATTGAGATTCAGAAATTTCAAGCTTGCCCCCCTTTTTGGCTTCTCTTTATGTTTTGAATCTGCTTTTAGTTTGTTAAATCTTATACTATCACTCACAATTATGTTAAAGCTTCAATTTGTTATTCCTTGTAGTGTTTCTTCTGTATGAGAGGGGAACTAATGAGTTGTTTCTTTTACATGTACAGTTTGGCTGCGCTATGCTGCTGTTGTTTGTTGGAGGAGTGCTGCTTCTTCTTTTGATGATAATGGAAATGGATTGGATTGTTTCTAATGTTTGCATATGCTTCAATTCTGTGTTGGACGAATACTGCACCTGAGCAACTTCTATAGATTTTGCATGAAAGTGCATTGGTGTCGTTATTTATGTTCTAGGCTTCTAGCCTCGTATATGTATGCGGTTGTTTTATGTTGTGTTCTTCTATCCTAACTTGTAAATTGAAAGCACTACAGAGCTGGTTGTGTGGGAACACAAATGCTTACGTTTGAAGTATTTTGATAAATAAAACAAAGTGAACCCCCATGAGCTGGTTGTGTCTTGAAGTTTGGCGTGCGACACTGCCTGCAGTTTGACGATTCATTTCATCTCCATGTGATCCACCAAGTTTCAATGCTTCCAGTAGTCTTTTGATTCTTCTATCTCAGCTGCCAAAATAATCCATATTCGACTTCTTTTTATCTTTTTGGGTAAACTAGATCATGCTTATTCATTTTTTACTTTTAGGTAAACTAAATATCATGCTTATTCTTTCTCCTTACAAAACCAACCATGGACTCATTCCCCTTCTGCAGCAGCCACCAGGAGAATCTTGGTAAGGAGACGGTAGAAGTTGTAAAACACTATTAGCAGCACAATTGGAAATACTAGTACGAAATCTATTTATAACAGCATAGATTACAACAGCCAATCTGTTTAAATTTAAACAACTTATCACTAACTCAACATCAACTAAAAATCCACTAACCAGTTTGCCTAACCAAAGTACATACTACTCAACAAGAAGAGAAAAGTTTTGACAGCCTAAACAGGGAAAAAAATGCACCTACAGAGTCCACACAAACTCCGGTGTATCGTTTCTTCGACCTACTAGTGTGCCATAGAGGTACATCTTCTCCACTCGTTGCTCATCATCAAGGCCAAGCTCCATCTGATCATTTTCATTTATGATCTCCACGTTAAGCCTTGGCATCTTCTCTGTGAGTGCCTTACAGCCTCCAAGAGTAACTTCGCAGGACGACATCCAAAGGGATCGCATTGTTTCATACTTTCCCACGTCCTTTAGAAGTGCCATGTTTCCGAAGGGGCTGCCCCTGATCTCAAGCTTCCGAAGCTTCTTGCACCCATTCAACACATAAACCATACCTTTATCGCTGTCCCCAGCAAATGCAATATAAAGCATTTCAAGCTGCTCAGCATACATTCCAATGTAGAGGAAAACCTGGTCAGTCAAAAGGCCGGAGAGTGACAGCCGCCTAATATTTTTGCATGCCTGAACAATTGCCCCAAAACCTTCATCCAGTGGCTGCATGGTGACAGCGTCAGGTCTAGTGGGGTCAAGGATGCACAACCTGAAATGTATAAAATTTGGGCAGTTCTTGGCCACAGTGATGAGGGCAGCATTAGTCATCTGCTGGCAAAAGTAAAGCAAAGAATGAAGCTTGGGGCAACCAGCGGATATGGCAACAAGGCCGCCTTCTGTTACAGCAGCATGTCCAACTCCAAATGGATCAGAAGGAAAAACTCTCAATTCCTGCAATTCTTTACAAGTTGAGGCGATAACTCCTAGTCCTTTGTCTCCAATACAATCTAGTATCTGCATGCATACAGATACCATTTACCATCATGTTGTAAAGAAACACATAGGAATCATTCTTTTTTCTTGGAAAAGTACGCTCCAGAGATTTGGTAACAATGTGTAAAGTCGATGTGAAATATATCAAGCCCCATTACTTGGATCTTTTGTCTGCAGCATGGGAGGCCGCAGGTTTTCTCTGCAGATGTAAGCACGAGACTTCATGATAATGGTTGAATATTTCAGATCAAGAACACTGATCCAATGTAATGCTTCTGTGGAGCTCAGTGCAATGGCTCCCCCCTATCTATTTTCATCATAAATTAAAATTATGGAGCTTTACTTCAGTCACATATAACCTTTGCAGCTCCTAGCAAATTTTTTTATGATAAAATGGAATATATGAAATACTTAAATGAACATGAGCTGTGATTCATGAAATTTATACAGAATCTGTAATTTCAACTGCAAAAAGAAAAATAAAGATGCATCATAAACACAGAGAAAAAAGAACGGTACTTTTGTTGAAACCAACTGTTGCAGAATACTAAAGATGGCTTCAAAGGTCTTCAAGACCTCTAGCAAATAGGGAAGCAAAAGCCTCCATATAATGTTTTTTCAAAACCAGCCCAACCTCAACACCACCAGCACCATTCTTGCTATCTGAAAAGGAGATAGCCCCTGTCCTGTCTATCGAAACGAAGTCGATCTTCGTTGGTCTTCCCCATCCAAAATCAGTTGCCACATAAATCCCAAAAGTATGTGACCCAGCAATGGAATGAACTCTATCTGTCGCTAGGAAGGCGCGAGGCAGCTAGGCGGTCGCTAGGCGGGCGGGAGGATGCTAGGCGGTCGCTAGGCGGCTAGGCGGTAGCTAGGCGGCTTGGCGGGCGCCTAGGCGGGTTGGGTCTTTTTTCGTTGCCGAACCCAGAGGACGAAGCAGCCAGAATCAAACAAAACAAATCGAAGCTTGAGATGATAGAGAAGCGAAATGGCTTGACTGCGAGTGCAAGTTCCGTACTTCGTGTTCGTCTGGAATATATTTACAGAGTATAGCCGCTCGGCTATAACTTTAAAATATTCTGAAAAGCTACTGCTAAATTCGTAAACAAGAGAAGCTACCCAATTACACTAAGCTCATGAACAAAAATCACTATAGAGCTAACAAGTCACAAGCAAAACCTCTCAAACCGAAAAAAAATCCAATCTTTTTCTCAAAATAACGATGATGGTTTCAAAATGTGACCTTTTCCCCCAAATCAGGTAAAGAAGTTTGCCCCTCGCCGTCATTCTCTTTAGGAGGAGTAAAGGATATGCGACGACATGAAGCAGTGGATTACTTCATGTAGTGCAACCATGAGGAAGGAGATCGAGATCGCCCGTCAGATGCAACAGGAGGCCGCGGATATTAATGAGCAGGTGAGGCAACTTCAAGAGAGGAAGGTCTCCCTCGTTGCCAAAGTCTTCGAGATTGTTTGGAGCAATAGGCCTGTCAAGGCTCAACTTCGATAGGATGCGGCAGCGGTGGGAGCGTACCGGGCGAGGAAGTTAACATTTCAGTCTACCTTGTCCATTGGAGATAGCGCGATGGAGAGCTTTAAGATTGCCCTCCGCACCCTTTTCCCCGATGCTTAGGTTCATACTTGGCCATTGGTTAGCCCATTTTGTACTTAGCTAGTTTCTTTTTAGCACTCTAATTATCCTGTGCATCGACGTATATAAGAAACTTTTGTTTATTTCTTAATAGCGGGCCTTGAGCTTGTCTCTCTCATCCTTGTCCTCCAAAGACATAAGGTCTCCGTCTCGGTATAACTGAAGTAAGGCCGCAACTCCAGAATTTGGTAGGACTTGGCTGTGGTGAAGGAAATAGCAAGGCGAGTGGAAGCCTCCGCCGAAGATATAGATGTATCTCACTGATCGAGGAAGTCAAAAATGTCACCAGAGGGCTGTAAGAAAAATAGGCATTATATTTTTTTTTTCCTTTCAAGTAGGGAATGGTAGAGGGGCTTCTTCATGATCCCAGCAAGATGAATTGGTAAAATCTCTTATACTTTCTTTTTCTACTTTTTAAATTTTAAACAGACGTCGCTCTTTTAAATATCCGACGTTACAATTTCCAAAGAACGACGGTATATCTTTATTGACGTCTGAAAACCATAATACGTCTGTTTCTTCCAATACGTAGAGTATAGTGATATATACAATTCATCCCAAACGACGACTTGAAGAAAAGCTAATCTATAGAGATTCAGAAATTTCAAGCTTTCCCCCCTTTTTGGCTTCTCTTTATGTTTTGATTCTGCTTTTAGTTTGTTAAATCTTTATACTATCACTCACAATTATGTTAAAGCTTCAATTTGTTATTCCTTGTAGTGTTTCTTTTGTATGAGAGGGGAACTAATGAGTTGTTTCTTTTACATGTATAGTTTGGCTGCGCTATGCTGCTGTTGTTTGTGGGAGGAGTGCTGCTTCTTCTTTTGATGATAATGGAAAATGGATTGGATTGTTTCTAATGTTTGCATATGCTTCAATTCTGTGTTGGACGAATACTGCACCTGAGCAACTTCTATAGATTTTGCATGAAAGTGCATTGGTGTCGTTATTTATGTTCTAGGCTTCTAGCCTCGTATATGTATGCGGTTGTTTTATGTTGTGTTCTTCTATCCTAACTTGTAAATTGAAAGCACTACAGAGCTGGTTGTGTGGGAACACAAATGAAATGCTTACGTTTGAAGTATTTTGATAAATAAGACAAAGTGAACCCCCATGAGCTGGTTGTGTCTTGAAGTTTGGCGTGCGACATTGCCTGCAGTTTGACAATTCATTTCATCTCCATATGATCCACCAAGTTTCAATGCTTCCAGTAGTCTTTTGATTCTTCTATATTCCACATCTTCTCAGCTGCCAAAATAATCCATATTCTTCTTTTTATCTTTTTGGGTAAACTAGATCATGCTTATTCATTTTTTACTTTTAGGTAAACTAAATATCATGCTTATTCTATCTCCTTACAAACCAACCATGGACTCATTCCCCTTCTGCAGCAGCCATCAGGAGAATCTTGGTAAGGAGACAGTAGAAGTTGTAAAACACTATTAGCGACACAGTTGGAAATACTAGTACGAAATCTATTTATAACAGCATAGATTACAACAGCCAATCTGTTTAAATTTAAACAACTTATCACTAACTCAACATCGACTAAAAATCCACTAACCAGTTTGCCTAACCAAAGTACAAACTACTCAACAAGATGAGAAAAGTTTTGACAGCCTAAACAGGGAAAAAAATGCACCTACAGAGTCCACACAAACTCCGGTGTATCGTTTCTTCGCCCTACTAATGTGCGATAGAGGTACATCTTCTCCACTCGTTGCTCATCATCAAGGCCAAGCTCCATCTGATCGTTTTCATTTATGATCTCCACGTTAAGCCTTGGCATCTTCTCTGCGAGTGCCTTGCAGCCTCCAAGAGTAACTTCACAGGACGACATCCAAAGGGATCGCATTGTTTCATACTTTCCCACGTCCTTTAGAAGTGCCATGTTTCCGAAAGGGCTGTCCCTGATCTCAAGCTTCCGAAGCTTCTTGCACCCATTCAACACATAAAGCATACCTTTATCGCTGTCCCCAGCAAATGCAATAGAAAGCATTTCAAGCTGCTCAGCATACATTCCAATGTAAAGGAAAACCTGGTCGGTCAAAAGGCCGGAGAGTGACAGCCGCCTAATATTTTTGCATGCCTGAACAATTGCCCCAAAACCTTCATCCAGTGGCTGCATGGTGACAGCGTCAGGTCTAGTGGGGTCAAGGATGCACAACCTGAAACGTATAAAATTTGGGCAGTTCTTGGCCACAGTGATGAGGGCAGCATTAGTCATCTGCTGGCAAAAGTAAAGCAAAGAATGAAGCTTGGGGCAACCAGCGGATATGGCAACAAGGCCTTCTTCTGTTACAGCAGCATGTCCAACTCCAAATGGATCAGAAGGAAAAACTCTCAATTCCTGCAATTCTTTACAAGTTGAGGCGATAACTCCTAGTCCTTTGTCTCCAATACAATCTAGTATCTGCATGCATACAGATACCATTTACCATCATGTTGTAAAGAAACACATAGGAATCATTCTTTTTTCTTGGAAAAGTATAAATGATTGAAGGAGCATACCCATAAGCGCTGAAGCTTCCCACAGTGGCGAATTAGCTTTATCAGCTCGCTGCCATGAACCCCTGGAGCATAGCTGAGGTTCAAGGATGTCAAGTTCGAGCATATTGGGTAAATAGCGGGCAGACAACGGGGAGCAACCTCCAAAAACCCTGACAAGCTCTTAATTGATTTACATTTTAGAATAGTAGCCTTCAGTTTGTTGTAGGTCTCAGAATCAGGATCTAGGACATAAGACCCGGTTCCCAAATCCACTAGTTGAGGTGCTTGCATGAGTACTTTTTGAAGAGTGTCAGGAGGTACTGCACGGTTTAACCTCAGGACTTTGAGGTTAGGAGATCTAGCCACTAGTCTCTCCAAAGCTGCTAAATTAATTTCTCCTTTGAGGCATGCAAAATTCAGGGACACCAGTGAGGTACAGTTTTCAGGAAAGCAGCTAAGCCACTGGCCTCTATGATCATCAATATCATTTTCCTGCAGATCCAGCTCCTTGAGAAACCTATGTAGAAGAAACGTTGGAGGAAGTTATGCACATATGAAATTCAGGAAAAACTCAGACCAATCATCTAACATAACTTCTCACTTTCTCAAGCCTATCATATTATTCTTTGTTTGATCATGATTAATATTCTAATCAGCATATAAGCTCCGGAGAAGTTTCCCACTGTTCGGTTTAATTGTTTTTCATTGGCAACATTAGATCATGGTGAGAATTTCAAGATAAACAAACGAGATAAGAAAGATCAATGACATGAACACGTATTCTGGTGAAAATAGAAAACCGAGTTGTTCTATCAACCATTTACAGTATGAATTACGCAAAGATGTACAAAGCAATGATTTTGAAATCATTGACAGCTGACAGAGTAAATGCAAGATACTCAAACTGCAAAAGAAAACAAAATTGGATGGCCCAGATTGGTAAAAACCACAAACAAGTCAATCACAGAATCAATGGCAATTGAACTGAACTTTTAGAGGGAAAAAAACCAAGCCGCAACATCATATAAAAACCAAACCATATCAATTATCTAACCCAAAAAAAATATCCATGTACATAACAAAAAGTCAAACTAAACTGCCAACATGTCCAACAATTAGATAAAAAAGGTAACTCTATTGGGCATGTAAAACAAGCAAGAAGACCAAAAACAAATTAGGATCAAGAAAATATATTCGGAAAACACATTCTTCAGGTGTGAAAATAATAAAAATAAATAAATGACGTTACCTGCAATTGGCAGCTATAGCAGCAAGGCCATCGGTGGTAAAGCCTTCGCAGCTAACAAGAACCAAAGACTTGAAATTGAGGAAGGACCTGGAAAGAAGCTCAAGGGTTTCATCAGAGACCACCATCCTCTTGAGTCTGAGCTCCTCCAAGCCGACCCGGCTGTCAACGAGAGCTTCAACCCAAGGCTGCAGAAAGCCACCCCAGTCGTGAGGGACCAAATTGAAGTCGGCGAAGTGAGGCTTTCCCTTCAAAGTTAGGGACTTGAGCCCTGGAAACCTCTCGATCACTCTCTCTGGGCTGATCGCATAGCAATTCCCTATGAACACTCTCCCCCTACTAAACCTCTCTATTCTGTACCACGATTTGCACACCAACGACACTGCGTTTCGGTCCTTGTGCGACGTCACCGAGTCGAATATGTGCTCTATCACCTCGTCTGGAAAGTAATTCATCCTTCTTTCTATACCATTCAATCCACAACTTTCCCCGGGAAAAAATGCCAAAGGTTCCAAGGAAAATTGAACAAAAAAGAAATCAACTTTCCGAGAAAATTTTGGAATAAAATAAAATAAAACAAAACAGAAGAAAAAAAGGAGCTAGCCTTGCATATGCAT